AAAGGACGTGTTATTGGTTATCTTCGAGGTATCAAAACACAATATTTGTCGTACATACTTTACTTTACACACACAATCACTCTTTGCTATACGGGTTCTACACATACCCTTCTTGTCCTCCGTTCCAACAGGTTTCTTTTATTCTGGCATCCCCAAACGAACTCTCCTCAGTCTCTCAATTTGAAGACGGTGAATATGAGTATTTACCGATACATGATATTTCGTTCTAACTACCTACATAGTTCTCCTTTCGTTTCTAGTCGGAGCCTCTCTCTCTGTTGAGACAAGGCCAGCGGAGGCCATACTCGATGTTCCTGACTTATCGACGCAAGAGTGTCTGACCTATCGTATATGACGTGGACTGTGGATCACATTTTGACCACACGTTCTCAGGGGATCGGCCAGGGTAAATGGGTTGCAAGTAGTACCGAAGTGATATTGAGGATATACCGTCTTCACAAGCGTAGTACATCAACTATCCTCCTAGCCAGTTAAACAGTCAAAATTTCGGCATGTGCGATGAAGAAAGGCACAGCGCACATCTTGATGGTGCCCGCAATACAGACTCTGGAGGGATGCTCTTAGAGTGTGAACTTAACTCCAATTCCCCGAGTCCAACACATTCACTCGTCCCTTCCTCTCTTACCCTTCGAGGCCTCTCTCCACCGAGCCTTCCACTCCCTCGTCAGCGCACCTTTTTGGGCTTCCCACTGGGAGTGAATTTCGGAGGTAGTTTGGGTGCAGGAGAAGGGCTCCTCGTTCTTGTCTTCCTCTTTGCCCCCGTGAGGGAAGAGGGAGAATATATCTCGAGGTGTATTTCTTATGGAGGAACGCGAACGGAGGGTTGGCGGGAGAGGGAAAAAGAAGGGGAAACTCGAGTCCAGCGTTGGGTGCGCTTGTGGCTGCTCGTGAGGAACGGAGACTATGTGAGGTAGCGCGCGTGATGTGGTTGTGAGGGGTGGGGAAGGTCTGAAATCCCGAGTATGTCTTCCTCCTCAAAGTCCAGGTCGAGATGACTGAGTAATGAGAATCCAGCTATAGCGGGTCGTGGTCAATGAAGATCGACCGGAATAAAAATGGGGACATTAGAAGGGGAAACAAAAAACAAGTGTAGCAATAAAATGAATGTATACAATGAAACAAAAACATACCTTCCTCCTCCCTCGGTGCGAACAGATCTTTCAGTTTTGTTTGCTTCTGATCCTGAGCAGACGGCTTTGACGTGAATGTCGGGCGCGATTGGGAGTTGAGCGGAGATACTGTTGTATCTGATCCCATTTTTGTATCCTTGTATTTCGCATGCGAAACTTCCTCGATCTCGATCTCGCCCTCATCCACATTCATCCGTGTTCCAGTCTGAGGCTCCCTCGCCTTACCTTTACCCCCAAGACGCGCATCTTCAATATCAGACAAGCTCTCCTGTCCACCCCATCCTTCGTCCCCGTCCCCAAAAAGGGAGCGAAGGAATGCGAGAGAGGTGAGCTTTTCTTGCGCGAGGGAGGGGATTGCTTCAGTCGCAGCTTCAGTCACGGGTGAACGAGCAGTGGGAAGGGGTAACAGTTCTGGTGGTGAGAGGGGAGAAACAGTAGATTTTGGGACCGGCAGCGATAAAGACTCGTGGTCATCTTCATCATCACTAGATGGACTCTCGGTGTCTTGTTCACTGTCACTGTTCTCTGACACCTCAGCACGTCTTTTTCTCGGGATTACAGGCCCACCGGCGTGTTCTGCAAGATCCACCGCGCCCGCTACCTCAGCATCCAACCAGATACCCTTCAGATGTGTTGAGTCCCAGCGCGTTGGATCAATCGTCCGGCGGCGCGTGCGTGTGGGGGGAAGTTTGACGCGTTTCTTGCGTTTCCCTGTCACAAGTTTCCCATCTTTGTCGTACTTCTTGTTCCCTGCACTGGTAAGCACCCGGGGCGGCTCCAAGGGTTTCTCAGGTCTCATGCGCATTATTCTCACCACACGTCCCATCTCGGTGACCCTCCATCCCCCTCGGGTACGTGCTGTCTCGGGCGTGACCAGTGACATGTCAGGCGCATGGATGCCTACCTTGGAATTGGCACGCCTTTTTTTGTGTGGTGGAGAGGGAATGGAGGCAAGTCTGTTGTTTTGGAGAGTGAGTGGGAAGTGAGTGAGTTAGGGTGAAGACGTGCCGTTCACGAAAATCAGGCTTTGCATCTCCAATACGGAGTTTGGCGCCCTTCCATACTGTTCCACTGAGTACATTTACGCCTGGCCAATTTCAGCCATAAAATTCACAAAAAAGAAAGAAAACTTACACCTCGCCAAGTCTGTTTTGTGACCTTCAATCGTCGCATAACCGAAAGGCCTCGGTTGGCCTAGTGCATCGAGTTTCCCAAAGCCATCGAGCGAAATTACTCTGCCAAAGGTACCGAGTCGCTTTGCCAGGTCAGCGGGTGTGATGGCGGGTGTTGTGAGACCAAGATATGTGCAGGCGTTTGTTATGGTTTCCGTGGACATGATAATTGCATTACAAAAGCCACTACAGTAGATTTACGTACACTTCATCAGCCTCAAACAAGCGTTGGCAAACAACATGCAGACAGCCAATTCAAAAACCAATTTCTCATTTCCCATCACTCTTGCTTCTTGGTACTATACAGCATCGCCATTCAGCCACCGCATTACATTAGTAGCGTGTGCTCGTATGTTTGTTTTCCTCAGCGTTTATTCCTGCACTCGCTGAGGTATGTTTATTCTTGCATGCACTCGTACCTAGGCTCGTACTAATGTAGACTAGACTTACTTGTGTCGTTGTTCTAGGAACATCAATTGATAGCGTTTGTTCAACCCACTCGCTGAAACTTACTCGTCTCATTGGTCTCGGAAATCAGTGACTGGGTACCCTACAAAACATCGTACGTTGCATCAAAGTGCTCAGTTTTATAGCCATGTCTGAGAGTCGAAAAGCAGCACAAAATTATGCAGTCCATGGTTTTGCACAAGAGACTTCCATTGGCTTTCTCAATCTGGCGCTTGCCAACTGAAGTCCTATGCCATATTTTCGACTACTGTCTCCCGGACACCAAGCACTTGTCGCCCACACCAGATATGGCTCCCATCCTACTGACCAGGGTATGCCGACGATGGAGGGAGGTTGCTGTGGATATGCCAAGTCTATGGTGCAGACTGTCTATCAAAGTCTTTCTCAAAGATTGGCAGCACAACGCTTTCTGCTATGACACATGGCTCAAGCGTTCACGAGGACGTCCGCTCTCGTTGGCGCTTCAGTGGCAGGAGCATGTCTTAACGGAGCTACAAAGCCTTCTTCAACCATACCTCAAGCACGTTTCGTCTCTCTCTATCCTATCTTTGGAAAACGCCGAGAAACCTGCACTCGTGTTAAGAAACCTCTCAGAACTGCAGCAGCTGACCATAAGGATGGTTGGTCCTTTTGAGCCAGCCCTTACACAATTCTTCCCATGCATGCCCTCCACTCTCCGTAATCTAGAGGTAATTGGGCCATTGTTTGACCTCGCGCGCTTAGACATTCTTAATTCCGTATTGCCTCACCTGACAAATGTCAGGATCAACATATACAACTCAATTGCATGCCTTCGTTTGCTCCAACTTGCTCCCAACCTCTCCTCGTTAAGCATTGGTATATCGTTCTTCGAAATACAGGACTTAACACCGTTCACACACACCAAACTTCAATTCTTGCGCATCAACTATGCCATGGGGTTCACAAACCAGTTACCTGATTTTTTCAACGCCCTCTCATTCCCCAATTTACGCATACTCGATGCTCCAATGTACCAGGATGGCTTCGAGGAGTTGAAAGCATTATTGGCGCGGTCAAATTCTCCCTTGGAGAGGCTGGTTCTTCGTGTCGGAGTGATGACGGACGAGCAGCAAGCAGAATATGGCGCCCTCATTTCTTCCCTTGGACCGTTAGTTAACTTGCAGGCGACTCAAAATTTGTTACACATCTCGCAGTGATGATATTGGGCTGGCAGTTGAAGTACGACAGGTGTATATAAGAGTATTCACCATTGTTGGGCCGTATGTTTTGACACACTACTCTGCTTGTATGTGCATATGCGCAGTAGCGTTCCGAAGCCTTTCTCCTGCGTAAGAGAAGCCTTCGTCCCTAGATGATGTGTACGTACCAGTAGCAACAATTCATGTAAATCAAATCTGCAGATCAGCGACTTCAATACGAATCCTCCAAAAATTTCGCCATCACATCCGTCTCAAAGGAATACGTGATATCCTCTAATGCATACTCCTTCTTAGGTAGCAAGAAATACACGCACACTGCCATGATCATGCAGCACACGCCAAGGAGCAGGAACGTTCTGTACGTGATAACGTGATCCTCTAGAGCATCACCAGGGTCAGGTGCGATATTGTGAACGGCATCAGCTAGTTCACGCAGATCGCGACAGTAGGTGTGGCCGCAGAGATAATTGGGAGCAATTTCGCTGGCTACAATTCGCGGCAGAAGTCCCCAGCCGGGACAGAAAATTACACCAGAGGTAAACGGCAACAATAGACTTCTGACTCAGGAAAAAAATGGTGCTGTGTGGGTGGACAGTGCTGAAGCCGGCGATCCAAAGCAGTGATAATCCTTGCTCAAGGGTACCCACTAAGAGATACATCTGCGTCCCCAGGAGTCCACGGCAAATGCTAGGGTAGGACCGACCGCGACGACATATATGACACCATAGAACCCGATGCCGTACCGGTAATACCAAGTGCAGCAAAGAAGTCCACTTTGATCTTGTCCAGAATAAGGACAGATTTATCATCAACTGACACATTGGGGGTTTGGGAGTTTTTCACTATGCAAGATTTGTTTCGAAATGTTAGTGATAAAGTTGGCATTCTTACTATACATTTTGACACGGTAAAAATGAAAAAATTGGATGAGTGGCCAAATCCTGGGCGAAATTCTACATTTTATGAATCATTTTGACGTTATAAACGAAAGACATTTCACCGACAGCAAGATCTGAAGAAAAATGATCGAACATTTTGATTCAAATCTTACATGGGGTGAAATTTGAGGAGAATTTGAAATAAAAATTTCGAAACACATTTTACCTAATTGGAAAGGAATTTTACCCTATGTGCAAGATTTGAATCAAAATGTTCGATCATTTTTCTTCAGATCTTGCTGTCGGTGAAATGTCTTTCTTTTACAACGTCAAAATGATTCATAAAATGTAGAATTTCGCCCAGGATTTGGCCACTCATCCAATTTTTTCATCTTTACCGTGTCAAAATGTATAGTAAGAATGCCAACTTTATCACTAACATTTCGAAACAAATCTTGCATAGTGAAAAACTCCCAAACTCCCGGTGTGTGACGTTCGAACAACGTACGCAAGGGCTACTGCTGCCTCCTCATAATGCTCCTGTTCGATAATCCGACGTGGTTACTCTGGCTGTGGAAGCATGAGGAGAATGAGTAGAATTCCTGGAACGAGCTGGACTACTAAAGGCATTAGCCATTGCATGTCGCTATATGGGATGTTAATGGAAGCGACTGTAACAAGTTTCCATCAATCCGAAGTCTGCTTTATCTGAATACACACGCACAGCTTAACGTCGTCCCGATGTTGTCAGAGAACTGGATAAGACAGGTACACCTCCCCCTAATGCATTTGGGTATGCACTCTGATATGTATGAGGCGAGATATGAACGAGCGGAGAGCGAAGCATAACAGCGCCAAGACCGTGCACTAGGTTATGAGATACTCCTCCATCCCATGGAGATTGACTGCAGGCGACAAGACTAAGTCCCTAGTCCAATTTGATTGAGTTGATGATGCTGGTGTGATTCAAGTTCAAGTATCCAACTAAGAATAATAAGATATTCGGAGTGCAGGCTTGATCATGAAACCTGGCTTGTAGTAGCTCGTGGACGTTTCGAGTCTTCTGTAGGTAGACCAATAACGGAAGGGAGTCGTTCTTTTTGTAAATGTTAAGTGAGGGTCACAGCCTCATAGGGCAGAAGTTCGACGTGAATGAACGTCGACTTTGAAACAGAACGTTCAAGCGGCGAACAAAATCCCTTCTCATTTATGTATTTGAAAATATTTGGTAAGTTGTCTCTCTTCCGCATACTTCCTCTGTGAAGATGAATTACTTAACATGCTCGTTCTATGGAAGGGGGGACTATAGGGCGAGAAGGTCGCAATGGCTCTCGTTATTTAAAAATTACTCTGAAGCAGATTCTTTGACAGCACTCGTAACCTTCGGGTATGCTCATTTATAATGCCCTCTGGGAATCATACGAGCATTTCAGCTAGGGTTTGCCTCGTGCTTAACAGCCTTAGGGAATCTCTGCAAAACTTTCTATAGATAAATTTCGAACCGCCATCTATCAGTACATAGAAGACACTGTCTACGCCCTGCGTGTGTGAGTTATACAAATTGGTATAGTTAGCTGATACTCATATATATCTCTATTCCGAGAGAAAAGGCCTCATTGTTACATTCAACCCTACGGTTTGCATGTCCCCACACTTCCCGCACTCCTTCCCGCAACATCTCCGTTATGCCAAGCGTTCTCGGTGTCACTTGGTGCCTCGGTAAGCACTGGATCCGGCGAATCCTTCTCCTGCGTGGACGACTGCCCAGGATTCAAATCTTGATAATGTATCCTGTCATGCGCGTCAGTACATGTGAGTGAGCGAGTGGATCTTACTTACCATTTCAGCATACTGTAGAAAGCAGCTCCCAGCAGAGAGCCAAGAAACGGACCAACCCAATACTACAATGAGGCGAAGCTTAGGGGCGCGCCCGTGAAGAGTCTGATTTACTCACTACCCAATGGTCAGGGTAAGGAAACCCAGTAACGACAGCAGGCCCGAATGAACGTGCCGTATTCATCGATGCACATGTATAAAATATGGCCCATCTACGCCAGGTATGGACGATTTCAACAACTAATACACAGGAAGGTAACCCACTCACAAATGTCCGACAAATAGCGTCAGCCCGATGCCAATCTGATGCATAACATTCAGCGTTATTATGATGGGATATGATAATCATCCTTACTGGTGCAAACGGAGTAACCTGGGATTTCTCAGCGGCTAGCATCAGAACGGCTAAAGCCAGCGTTGCTGTGAGGAACATTTCAATGAAAACGCCTTGAAATGAATTGATTCCCTTTTGTAGGAATGTGCTATCGGGGAAGGCGTATATTTCGATTAGGATTGACAAAATCACCAGTTCGTGACAACTACTTACTTAACATACAGTGGTCCAGGGGTCAGGGCAAGCAACAGCGCTGATGCAGTAATAGCTCCAACCAGCTGTGCGATACAGAACAACACAAATCTCACGGGGCTCACCAGCCCTACTAGAAACAGTGCAAGCGTGATATTGGGGTTAAAGAGGCCGCCCGTTATCCTGTAGAACAACCAAGCGGAGACCAGAAGGCTGAAACCCATGGATGTCGCGATATACATCACATGTTCGATAGTGGTGCCGCTGACTCCGGTCTCGTCAGTAGCCGCCTGGATACCGCCAAGTCCTAAGAGTAGAAACAACGTTGTCCCAACGAACTCGAGCGCGGCGGCCTTACAATCAAGCTTGAATGTACCGAATAAGCCGCGCATAGAGCAACGAGAGACTGATCTGGCTGTTGAAGACATGTTGTGTTGTACGATGAAGAGCTTGTACGATGGAGAAAAAATTGCAACCTCTTGCAACTCCTTCAAATACTGGCACCCGCCTGTGCATCGGTATCAACCCGACATCGATACAACCTGTCATTGTAATGTTACACGAGTCCTCTACATCCAGTTTTCATGTTGGCTAGGGTCCTTGTATGCATTATACTATCTAGTGATGAATGAGAAGATCGTACAAATGAAGAATTGCCACATTGGCCTGCTCTACAGGTAAGTCAGAGGGGGATATGTTTCGTGCGGCAGTACGTGTCGGAGGGTTGTGTTGATGTGGTCACTGCGTCTGATAATTTTAGGGACTGGTGAATCCTAACGAATGTTAGGTCTGTTGTTGCGAAAGGATGGAATACTTCTACCAAGAATCCTGTGATGTATCGATGAGAGGTCCAACGTTGATTGTGTGGACAATCCTTCGAACATATCGCTATGATCTTGCATGACGGTGACATCTGACACTCGTGTCAAGTACTATCGATCACGTCATTGATATTTGAACGGAAGTTGTCATGTATGGACGGAAAACTGGGGTATGGTGAACTTATACACGTGGCCTCGTTCCTCGGCCAACTGAGAGTTGTGAGTCCAGCACTTTCAGGTATGGCCGGGATCACAATAGGAATGCCTTGATTGATGAACATGCAGCCTTAAGATGCCAGCCAAAAAGTTCATGCTCACGAGGCAGCTTGAAGCAGCATGAACGCATTACTGCGGAAAAGGGCTTCATCATCAGAAAGCGGAGGGTGTGTAAGCGTGCATGAGTACCTATTCCTGCAAGATTACTTCCCCCCGAAATTTCCTTGCTCCACTCGAGAACTCAGTGGCCCTCATGCGCAGTTTCTGGAATGTGGTGCCGGGCATCACGGTGTGGATAAAGTAGCACCGTTTCCAGGCGTTGAATAATATCGATTCCCGAGTTAATTAATTTGCTCGACCTGCGTCTTGTACTCCTATACTGTTAAAGATATCGGCCATCGTATACGACGGAGACTACTATGCTGTTATGAAAACTTCTCAATCTTCAGTTAGATAGGATTTGTACCCATAGCTCGTGCACCGTACTGACCAAGATGCTATTCGCTCCACCCCTTATTGGACCTCATCTTCTTCACGGCACTGCGTTTATCCTTCTCCAATCTCCTTCGATTGTCGTGTGCCTTTTCTAGATTGGCAACCCTCTGTCTTTGTTCCGCACTGGGTTCGCTAGTAATGAAGTTCTTGGCAGCATCCATCACGACAGCATGCATCTTGAGACTGTTCAGTTTGTGATACAGCGTTGACAAGTTGAACAGACTTTGCCCAGGGAATCGTCAATGTTTCGTGCTTGAGAACGAGACGCGCTAGATGAAACTAGTAAAGAATGCGATGTTTTGACGTAGTATGGCTTGAATGAAACCGTTTCAGTCTGACAATCGCATGACCAGCTCCACAAATTACCGTCCTCACGAGACTCTCGCGCGCCCATAACGGTACCCAAGGTGCGTCTACACGACAGCGCGCAGAAACCTTAGTCTCCACCTTGTTGACATTCTAACCAATATCAATTAAGTACACCACACTCTCACATGGAAAACGGGTAATATGAATGTACCTGCCCTCCAGGACCAGAACTGCGAGAGAAAGTAAGTTCGACTAGATTTTTTGGGACAGTTTTGGCGTCTTCGAATGCGCGAAGCCAAACCTTCGCACCTTCCTGATCTTCGGCGCAGGATAGGGAAGTGGTCGAGGGTGGGATAGGAAGGGTATGGATTAGACGGCACCTCCGAGTCCAGGTGGCCGTTAGTGTATACCACGACTCTCTTGTGATTCGAGGGATCATAAGTATACCACTTCCAGCATTGATATGAAAGAACAGGCGCTTGTCAGTGCCAGTTGAAAGTGTGAACTACCGGGCCTGAGTAAGAGTTGGATTGGCACATGCACATGCACATTACATAAATCGTAGTAATCCGAAGTCCCCATTGACATGACCTTGGTAAACAAGGACGTTGCCCTGTTATTGTATCTCGCACGACGCACTAAGCATGATTTTGCCTATGACTACGACTGCGACTACAAATTCCAATGTCAGAAAAGGTCGAGCGCCTAATCAGACGGTTATAATTATGTTTGGTCGTGAGTAAACTCGGTAACCTTATAGTAACACGTGTCACTGTTTTTCGTTTCATTGGGGTTTTACTAACGTGCACACCTCCACCATTATGTCGCAGAAACCTGGAGTTCACTCTCTGGAAGGGTTCAGTGTAATTGGCACTGGAATATATCTCCGGGGTACCCGCGAGCAATGCCAGGATACTACATTGCCAAAGTGAGTCAATATCCGTGATAGCATAATAGCTGACGCGTCACGAGGCATTCTGTAGCGTCATTTTGATATTCGGATGGAGTGGGCTATCCCAGTTTTGTTTAAATCCTTGTCTAACGTGTTGCGTCTATAGTGGGAGCACAACTTAGGCATTTGCAGAATTATACCCATGCATATACCAAATTATATCCAAACGCGTCTCAAATCGTTGTTCGGTGCAATCCCGACGTGTTCTGGACTACAACCGGTACCAGAGTGAGCACCCCACAATTCCTTGCTGTTGTCTTGTCGGCTCACACAATTAAAAGCAACGGCGCCTCATGCCTGTAATCGATGCCTTAGAAGCACTGCACTGCTTCCCATCTTCCTCTTCTGCCCAACCGCCTCCCCGTATACTCACTCACGTGTTTTCCAATGGTAAGTTCACCCAGGCTGAATGTGGAAAAGGCTGATCATTGCATGCATCACCAGGAGGCTCCCTGCAAATGACACTTCTTGGACACATGCTAAAGCGGAAATATGGCTCCACATTAATTCAACCGTTCACCGCGAGCGCATTGATCCTCGACTCGTGCCCGGCAATAGGTAACCTAAAAACAATTAAACTCGCATTCAGCATTGTCATCCGGAACCCAGTTCTCAGGGTCATCGTACTTGCCATGATATACACAATGCACTTCGTCGGCCTTGGCCTCTCTCTGGTATTGGGTAAGCGAATAATGATCATGGAAAACCTCCGGATCGAAATGTGGAATCCCCGCGTCCTACCATGGATGGGCCTCCACACACCCCGCCTCTATCTTTTCTCGCGTAAGGATAAATTGATTCCGTGGCAAGATGTCACGCAACATGCCGAGACTGCGAAGGGACGCGGAATGGATGCACGTTGCGAACTGTTTGAAGAGAGCGAACATGTAGCACACGTCCGGGTGGAGCCAGATAGGTATTGGGCTTCGGTACAGGATATTTGGGCGGTTGCAATCTCCAAGGAGAAAGTCGAGGATCAGAGGCTACTTGAATAATTATAGATTTCTGTTGGAAGATCTATCTCCCTTGTCGTAGTGCATCCGTATATTGGGTCACACTGTAATTCGCAGAGAGTACTCCTTCAACCAGTACATAGAGCTGCTACAATTAACCTTCCTATTAAGCTCACCAGACGTTGCAAGATGCTCCTCCACAGCCTCTGTTATGTTCTTTCCTGATTTCCCATACGAGGTGCCATCGTCGTGCGCCAATTGAGATGTGCAGAACTGCAAAGAATATTGGTGGTTTCCTATATCAGCCTCACTGATTGCCACACGACAGATTGTCGGAGGGTTGTCTGATCGTAAGTGGTGTTCCCGATTGCGACACGAATAAGCACCCAATCGAGACTAGAAGACTGAGAGGGTCAAGCTGCAATGTAGCAGCCTCTTCGTTCGTCTAGCAGTGAATCACCCTCGCCTGCAGATTTCATACAACACTAGGTATTTTAAAGGTGTATCTTTGAACAATTGGCAGAATGATACTGGAACACAGTGCACGTATGTCGCCATCTCAAAGTGAGCGCATGAAAATACGATGTTATCCTGTCCCAGGCATACCAGAACGTCGGATGCAGCACTCTGATAGCATCGGTGGGAGGAAGGGAGATTTGGCAGGCGCGAATTGCAAGGGTCCGCTGTAACCACACACAGAAAGTTGTTGCTGTAGCAAAAATATCACAGGACAGCCATCAAGATTAAACACGTATGTGCGGGTGCAAGGACTCTTGCACAAAAACGGCGACATGATTGAAAAAAGAAATCATTTCAGGCGCGCATCAGCATACAGGTGCTGGATGTACGTTTGGAGCTGACAGAACCTCCTCACTTCATGGAGTCGGGGGTACATAATGCTCAACGCATTGTCAAACCAAACGCAGTAAATTCAAACGTTATCAACATTCGCTAAAAGTGGCCCCACATTCGTGATCAACAATAGTGGATACCTTCAAGTTCTCCCGATGCTGTTGGAATTGCTCATTGTTTCATGGGGTATAAGATCGCATCGTCCTCGGCTAAATAGATATGTTAGCACCGTGGTGTTAGCTGACGGTCATGAATACTTACAGCGATCAACTGCAGCTGCATGATATTATTAATAACTATAACGCTACTGATGTCGCGAACACTTACAGGAACGTTCTTTAAATAACATGGGGTAAAAGATCGCATCGTCCTCGGCTAAATAAGTATATTAGCATCGTGGTGTTAGCTGACGGTCATGAATACTTACAGCGCTCACCTGCAGCTGCATGATATTGTTAATGACTATAATGCTACTGATGTGACGAACACTTACAGGAACGTTCTTTAAATAACATGGAGTACAAGATCACATCGTCCTCAGCTAAATAGGTATGTTAGCGTCGCGGCGTTAACTGACTGTCACGAGTACTCGCAGCGCTCAACCGCAGCTGCATGATATTGTTAATAACTAAGATACTGCTGATCTCACGAATACTCACAGGAACGTTCTTTAAGTAACACGGGGTACAAGATCGCATCATCCTCGGCTAAATGGTATGTTAGCATCGTGGTGTTAACTGACGGTCGTGAATACTTACAGCGCTCAGCTGCATGATATTGTTAATTACTATAATGCTACTGATGTCACGAACACTTATAGGAACGTTCTTTAAGTAACATGGGGTACAAGATCGCATCGTCCTCGGCTAAATAGGTATGTTAGCATCGCGGTGTCAACTGGCGGTCATAAATACGTACAGCGTTTCTTGTTGTTGTCATAGCTAATCGGGAAGTATACGCCACGGGCCTCATCCTCGCGCCTAGCTACAGCTGCATGATATGTTAACAACTATAATGCAACTGATGTCATGAATACCCACAGGAACGTTCCGTAATCGCTCCTGACATGGGGTATGCAACCGCAAGAACCACCATGAAGGCAAGTACATTGAACAGAAGAGAGCGCTGCATGTTTGAAGTCAAGATGAGTGAAGGATAGAGGAAGTTAGTGCATAGATTAAAAGTCCAGAGGTCCTTCTTATACCTTTTCGTAGGCCTGGATTTGCTTGACCCATTGGACCTTGCTGGAATACGACGTGGCATGGCGTTCAACTGACCTACTGACCTCTACATAATGTTACAAACGTTTGAGTGAGAATATTGCTCCTCGAGACAGAGTCACGGGGTCCATGGCCTTCCGTCAGAGTAGCACCAGGATTGAGACTGATTCACCAATCTGGGGGTTTGTCAGTTGAGATGTAGCTGGATAAATGCAATCCTTACTGCTTTATGATGCTGCTGACCCAAGACATGTCAGCTTCCTCTCAGTACGAATCAAGTCGTTCTCCCTCCCCCACGTGTTTCACCACCAATACATTTCCCGCTACATCATTTGCGTTCACATTGATGCACGCTAGCCTCTGAATTCACACGTCGGGTCGCATAAACTGCGGGTTGTAGCTCGCCCCACGGCATATTTGTAACTAGGTTTTACGTTTTGCGGAACCGACCTATCGTGGCGACGAAGTCTGGCTTGAGCTAATCCACCCGATTTGGGCTGCGGTGGCAAGAACGAGTTATCTAAAGAAAAACCTATCTGCGGCACCGGTGGCAGTAGCCTGAGTGATTTGTGCCATAGCACGCGCAGGGGTCAATGCGAACTCCAACTCCAGGGGACCGCGAATGACATCGCGAGAAACAAGAGAGGGAAGACTGACTGACTGAACCATCGCAAATGGGACGCCTAAGATTCACGAAGACAGATGCATAAGCGGCTTTGAGCGGTTAGTAATGCATCTAGTATTGTGGGCCAAACTCTGTTATTCTGCCACGTAGCAGGGCAGAACTGGCACTGCCAGGCAGAACTCAGAACTGGGAGGATGTACTAAATAGTATACAGCATCAGTTCAGTGTATGATAGTGTGATTTGAGGTACTTTAAACTCTCTACAGTGGCTACTAAGTCTGGAGGTTGGCCACACTCGCATGTCAAGGACTGCAATCTCTCTGTCAGCATACTCAAGACACTCGGCAAGGTTCGCGCTAACCTTCGCTGTCATGTCCGCCTTTAAGAATATTGCTGACGGCAAGCCAACACGACGCCACCATGCTCACATGCGTACGACCAAACTTCCAGGCATCAATACAGAGGTTGCCAAGCAACTCGAAACTTACTTTTCACTTGTTCCTCCACTTGCAGCAGTCTCCAGTGACAATCTCAAAGGTCCCGAATCAATTTCACTTGGTGATATTGATCATGATGCTGAGTTTGCTTGACTTGAAGGTATTCGTAATGCAGAAAAAATGATGGACAGATTTTGCCTCGGACTAGGATGTGGATGGGAAGGAGGTTTTAGAAGGGAGATCATTCGACTTCGCAGAACTGCAGATGAGGGATTAGTAGTAGTGCCTGCAGCGACAGAGGATAGATCATAATGCAAACGAAGATGGGACTTGGAACATTGATTCCATGTTGCTATCGAGTGGTCTTACATCCGTGTAGTTAGAAAATGGGCGAACCCGGGTGGCACCCGTACCCAATCCGCTGGTAGATGGAACTTTGACGGCCTACTACCCGCACCCTTACGCGGGTCAGAGTATCACGGGTGCGGGTGGATCCGTGGGTGGATCCGCAGATGGTACGGGTGACAAATTGTACATCGTGAGGTATCATACTGAGCATAGCGTACTTTCGATGCCGCTAGCTCGTGGGTCTGCATTATGTAAGACTACATAATGAAATACCTTGATGATATCGTCGCTCTGAGGCCGCTCGTCTCAAACGTCGAGGTCAGAAATCGACACTTCGGGTGGCGAGACAAATTATGCCATACCTCACTTTCCTACAATAGACGCATGGTACCCCAATAGCACCCGTCGATATCATTTTACAACATGTCGGCTGTGCATTTCGAAAGTGTACCAATAGTTATATTAGTGGAATCATTTTATGCGTGGGGCACTCGCTGAATCCTTTCATTCCGGCGAGAAGGCTCTCGTTAAAAAGCAGCCTCGAAAGGAAATTATTTACTTCCACAGTATCAGAAAGATGTGCAGTCTATATCATCGCTGCTTCCAACGTCATATCTACTTGACAACTACCGGGGATTTAAAGAAGCCACTGGCGAGCGTGTCCTCCGTGAGCATACAAATTGCTGGTTGCATGGACTAGATTTCAAATATCTAGGATAGTGACAGCACCAGCAGCCGAGCCTAATGCAACGCAACCTCTTTCCTCATCGTAATCAAGACACGTCCAATCCTTCCCGTGATTCTTCCACGATGACTTGACCTGCGATTCATCCTGAGTATTGAGCAATCCAGGGAAGGCGGCGGCTACAAGTGTTTCGTGAGACTGTGGCACAGGCATATTTTGCAGGTGAACGTTCGAAGAGATTAAGCCTGCAACTGAATAATCTTCTGGTTGCACCCAGACTGCAGTTCCATACGGACCAAGCACCATGTCAGTGCATCGTAGGGCACCCCGACGCGGTGTCACGATTTCTGTAGTCATAGAAGGGGGAAATTTGTAATATGGCCCGTCGACAACAGTTTCATGAGACGAGGTCATTGGACTCAAAGTCCAGAGTTGCATCTTGAACGTGGACGACCACGGGTCATCATTCTTCGTGCGCACAAGAATTGACAGAGGCTGTCCTTCCATTCCTGTGGGATCCTCAGGCAAAGATGGCGGAACAGAGACAGAGATACCATCCACCCAGCCAAATGTGTTCTGGGCATAAGGATGATGGACACATGTGTTGGGATATGGTGCTAGTTTTGGGTCCGCAAATGCATGAACTGAACGAGCTCTAACAACAAGGATGGTCTTGTATGCAAAGACGACCTGAGTGCATTTGTTCTACAGATCTCATAATAATGAAAAAGGGGCTGATAATTGACGGAGTCACATACCCGCCAAAGGTCCGTATCAACGGGACTTTGTAAGATCGCGTACTCCTGCGTTTTCCAGTTCCATATTATTGTCTCGGATTCGTCGTCGGCCAAGGCCAG